ACAATCAACACCCTTTGAACCACTTTCAGGCCTTTGAAAACGACGAGTCCGTCGAAACGTCGGCCGGAATAAATATTTCCACCTACAAACCTCGAGGCAGAAGTAAAAACTAGTGACTATGAAGACTGCATTCTAAAACTCTAGAAGCCCTTCAAAGATTTCTATTCGACCAGATGGTCTTTTGACATGCTTGCCAACATTACTAGGACAACTCTTTGACTTATTCTTTGACGACATAATGTCTAGGAGGCTGCAATCCTCGCCTCAACGTTTCTCATGCCGTCACTTTCTTTGGAAGAAACAGGCAAGGGTAAACAAATACTCGAAATAGGACTCGGCGGTGGAAACTACGATATGAGACTACATAGAATAAAACCTTATGTAAGGATCGCTATTTTTATGTATTCATTTTATTATTACAAAAACCTGCTGCTCCTCAAGGTTTCCACGAAATTTAACAATTCATCGAAATATTTTTCCAAAATTATCTCACATTTCAAGAAATTCCGTTTCAGGCTAATATCACTGTTGTTGAAATAGATCCAATAGTGGTGAAGATGGCGTACAAATGGTTTGGAGTTGTCGATTCGGAATTCCATCATACAGTAGTGCAGGATGGAATAGAGTTTTTAGAGCAAGCATATAATCAAGGTGCCGAATTTGTGGAGACGATCCTTCTTGCCCTAATCTTTAGGCTCAACTTCCACCAGCCGTCATAGCATTTGATCTATCCATGCAAAAAAAAACCTAACAATGGAAGTAGTTACATGCATCCACTGTCGTACAGTTGACTATCAATGTGCTGGGACAGAAGCTAGTAACTTCTAGTCGATTTAATTAGGCAGCCCAATTAATCCAGTAGACCCAGCCGACCCTTCTCCCACGCGAAACAAAGAGCATAGACCCCTTTCGTTTGATTTTCTTGTAACGGTAAACAGTAATTATAGGAAAGCAAGTGAAAGTTTGAAGGAGTGGGGGGAAAGGGTCGTTTGGCGCGATCAGAGGGATGGCGCCAAACGCCATACACCCAAGGTTCGAGAGCTACAATGAACCTAACGAACCAGTCAAAGCGTACTCGATGATTTCAAATGCCTAGGAAGAAAGTTCGACATGGTGGTTATCGACGCATGCGGTTCATACTCCTCGCCATTGTTATGTCCCGCTGACCCTTTCCAAGACGCAATAATTCTGGGAAAAATTAAAGAAATGCTGACTAAAACAGGTCAGTCCAGAACTTCGAAATCAACGAAACCTCGAAATAATATCGAAGCTTTTCAGGAACACTAATTGTGGACCTCCTATCGTCGGATCATACGGAAAATGGTAATTATGCTTGGAAAAAGGTCAGTTTTCTTCACTGATCTGATGCGGTCTTTTGTGGTCTGCGCACGCCCCCCCTCCCCCCACCCCTACAAATAATTGGTCAGATTCGTTTCTGAGCGCCACTTGGAACCCCAAACCCGACGCTCTGAC